TGATAACAATAATAATAATAATTATAATAATAATTATAATAATAATTATGATAATAATAATGATGATGATAACAATAATAATAATAATTATAATAATAATTATAATAATAATTATGATAATAATAATATAATCAATAATAACAATGACAATAATGACAATAACTTTTATAATAATGATAATAATAATGTTAACAATAAAGATAATGATGGTGATGATAATAATAATAATATTGAAGAAGAAGAAATTATATTAGAATTAGAAAATAATAAAAGTAATAATAATAATAATAATGATAATGATGATGATAGTAGTAATAATAATAGTAATAATGATAATAATAATGAGAGAGATAATAATAGTGATGATAATAGTAATGAGAGTGATAATAATAATAATGATGATAATAATAATAATATATAATATAGAATATTTAAATATGTATAAAATATTTAATGTATAAAATATTTAAAAAACAAAAAAAAAATCCGATTATTAATTTCAATTAAGCATACTTTTATCCTTTTATTTTATTATTATTATTCATTTAATATCAATTGACAATTAGGTAATTAAGCACAACAATAGTTATAAACTGAACATTATTATTATTACTAATACATGGAAATATAAAAAATTCAAAATGATATATTAAAAAGGGATCATTCGCTATTGTTCCGTATCATCTACACACATCTCTCAAAAATTATTCTGGTCGGAGAGCTATAACGCAATTTCCAACCTTCTCCTTCCTAATACATTAATAATATATTAATATTAAATATTAACTGTAAAAATATTAAACAATAAATTAAATTATAAAATACCTCGTATACACAGTTACTTCACCTCCCACAGCCGGAACGCGGTCAACCCCCTCTTTTTTTGGAAGATCGATGTCATATTGTCAATCTAAAAAAAAATAATAAAATATATTAATCAGATTTATATCTATCTATCTATCTATCTATATACATAGATAGAAACACATACCAGAAAAGAAACCATTATCTTCACTATCGTAATTCAAAGTATCAAAATCAACTTTATAACGAAGTAATCCTCCAATTCCTCCAAATCCTTTAACGAATTGAGATCCTTCTTGAGATCGATTGGTGACAAATTCTAAATTCGCCCCAAAATCCTTGTAATGATCTGCGAACCATTCTAAAAGTGGCATCCTATCTACTACTTCCATTTCAAGATTTGTTTCTTTATCCAAGAAAAGAGATCGATCTTTCTCTTGTTCTTTGGTAATATGAACAATTACTTCGGCTACATATATATATATATCATTCAAGTAAAAGATTAGTAAAATATTGTTAAAAGATTTAGTATATATATATATATTCATAAATTTAATAATACATACCTCCACCACTATTCTTTAATACATAACGAGTAACATCCAAATTTTCCCAAACAATCAGCGTCTCAACTGCTCCCAATTCTAAACCTTTAAGAGTATCTTCAACTCCAAAGCAAAATTTACCTGTGTCTTGAGAAATCTCATCGAAGTATTTGGAAATGAGTTTCTTTTCTT